AGCTGTTCCCATCTTCCCATCTCATCTCCGTCCAAGTTTGTAAAGCATCATTCAGGGTTTCTGCGTCACATGGCAACGCAGAGACTTTGATGTAGCGATACCCAGGTCTTTGCAGAGTATGTATAGGGAATGACAGATGAGTATGCACAAATGTAGGTCTCTTATGGAAAATGAAATAGCTGCAAAATATATATGGAAATGGCACCAGATGTCACAAAAAATGTCTAGAGAAAATGTTTTTTTCAAACATACTGTTAGCTGAATCCCAAAGATCGTATCATTGAATTGAATTTCAGCCATAATGAAAGTAACCAAAAAGCTTTCACTTCTGACGTGCAAAAAGCAAAATCATTTAGAAGTGGTTCTGTGTGGGCTTCACCATGAAGGTTGTCATTTGACATTGGTATGTTAGCAAAAACTGAAAATTTTGCAGGATTGCAAGATAAGACAGAAGTTAATCAACTCACCAGGAAACTTGAATTTGAGTTTATTTTTCATAGATATGTGAGATATGTAGTGTGCGAGCATTTACCCCTGTGCCTGTTCAAGATAATAAAACTGATTTATTTTCAGTTGTTGAAAACAGTCTTCATCAGGGCCGGTGTACACTTGAAAGTAGCTGAAATGCTTTGGCGTGACCACCAATAAATACACTGCAAATCAGAGTGCCTCTGCCATCCTTCTTTTATCTCTGCAAGAAATGAACCTTTCCTGAATAGCTTTAGAATGAGCTTGAGCTGTATCAGAACAAGTATAAGCCCACACAGACTATTATATACCCTTGACCCACTATCAAACATACCTGAGGAATTACACAGATATAAGACCACATGGTAATATAAAACAAAGTACTATAATCTAATGTGGAAAATCACATTCTATTGTTTAAATAAAGAGTGTTTTTATTGTCATTGTGATACCAGAATCTGTATTGTGTATCGAGTCTATGACTTCATATCGCAATAGAGAAATTTTAGTATCATGACACCAGTAACTTATATTCCCTCCTTTCATCTCACCTCACAGCACCAAGTCCTTTAGTATCTCCATCTGTCGCATGTGCATCTTTGTCCTGAGCTCACCATCGCCCCCTAGAGGATGACATTCACAAGGCGACAAATGCCTTTTTTCCCCCAACCATGACGCTTTCTATCGCAGTCAACCGACATCAACGCTACTGTGATGTTTGGGGCCCAAAGTACCTTTTGAAGTGTTGGGAGAAAAAAAAGGAAATAAAGCAAATTTCTGTGCTCTAAATCTGAATAGCACCTTTGTAGAGCCTTTTTAAACCATGTGAAATAGGCTATTGTGGCTATTGTGAGTACATGTGAATGCCTCTGACCTGGTGGCCATGCTGTTTTTTGTCACCTTTCAGTCCTTACTCGCAGTACGTGTTATCTGAGGCTAGCCAGACGGAGATACAGTGGACAGACTCTTAGCATGTGAATGTGTGGGCAGAGGGGAATTTGTGACAGTTGGTTGCGGGGCCTATATGTAGTTATAATCTGGGCAAAACATAAAAAAGAAACGGGAACTGCTTGGCTACAGTACGCACATAGTAGTTTGAGTGAATTTAGTGCATGGTATTTTTGATAAATGGGTAATTTTGTATACTTGAATTTGGGATAGAAATGTATTAGTTGTTATGATATCAATAATCTTGAACTTTGTAATAAAAAGCTGGAGTTAAGATGGAGTTAAACTGGTGTAACTGAACTGGACTTTGTGTGTTACTTTAGTAGTTGAATAATTTGGTTTATAATTTTGCTAAATAAGTCAGCGGCTATGCAAAATTACTGATTTTTTTAACGTAATGCATGCGTGTATTGTAAAATTAAGGCTATTGCGAATAATAAAAACATTTTGACTGATCTATAAGACTTCTATAAGACTTTAAAATGGCTCCTAAAACAAAACAAAAAAAAGATGACTGTAAACCATGGATAATTTGTGCAAGTCCATCTCTGTCAGTTTCTATTTAGCTCTAATTGTTAAATCTGGTGTGAGTACAGTGACTGAAGAACTTTCTCAACATACTGGTACACAGCTGGAGTATTAGCATATTGTGTGCATGTTTTAGTTTGATTGGAAAACCATTATAGGGGAGCAACCGGAGCATACCACCTAGACACCAAAAGAACATGCAAACTCAACATAGCAGGGTCTTATTTTATGCCACTATGCAGCTGTATTAAATCCTGAAATAATTATGTGTGGTAGGTATTGTTTAATATGCTTATGTTTTAGTTATTAGTTTATTTATTTACTTATTTATTTTACATTTTCTTTGGTTTCTTGATAGGGTAAATACAACAGTGTAAAAACGTATTGACATGTCCTCAATAGTTTGAAAAACCAGCTGCACAATTAGTTGTTACAGAATCGAAATTTGAATGAACACAATTAGCAAAAGCTGCAATCTTTTAAGTACCACAATTTCTCCACAAACAGCCAAATATCCTATCTTATTCTGCATTAAAACTTCTAAAACTACTTTAGATCTCGACAAACATTACCTGAAATATAAATGTTGTATTAGTTTGTCAGTTCATATATCAGTCTTTTTGGAAAACACTTTCAAAATGTGAACTTTGAATATCCTATTAATAAAACATAAATTGCAAATCTAATCACAATTCGAACGCTTGTCAGAAAAATCACCATTTGATATTTTCCTCAAATTGTTCAGTCCTACTTTAGAATAGTCTTACGTCTAATAGCAGAACTAATACAAAAGCACCAAAACAACATGCAGACTCCACATAAGAGTTTCTTTTTGTTTCACTTTGCCGCTTTGTTAAATTCAGCTGGTTTAATCTAAGTTGAAGCTAACTGCATTGGTCCTCCTCATTAGCCACTTGACTCCGGTCGGCCGTGACGCAGCAGCGGTGGCGCGTTGCCAGTGCACAGCCCCTGTAGTCAGCACGCCGCCTCCCGCCCCCCTCAAAGACGACATCTGTGAGCCTCTGCAGCTCTGCCAACTTCACAGCACACAACAGATTGTAAATGTTATCACTCCTGTCGGATTCGCTCTATATTTGTCCATGATATATACTCACCGGGCTCAGCTAACGACAACACCACCAAAACAACATTGCTAACCATGATATGACACATACATCTACAACATAAAGGTCTTGTACCTGATTTTTCCCATGTATTCAGCATTTTGTTCTCGCCCTAGTACAGTAAGTCTGCATCTATGTCAATGTCGAGACTGTGCCTTTAACACCTACATACATACATATGCTTTTAGATTTTGAGGAAGGTCCTGCCTGGTTTTTAAGCTTTTAATGTTTGTAAAGTTTATATTTTTACTTCCTGGTTGGACACTGGCAGCAGATATGCCATATGCAGAGGTAATTCTATAACCTTTACCTAGCGACCATAATGTTAACAAGGGCCAAACACTTTAATTTTGTTCACTGAAGTTTTAAATTTGTTCGTAGAGAAATTTAGATTTATAACTCTGGTATTTTTATAACTTCGTGCCGCTTCACTGATGTAAAACTATGATAAATATTTCCCACAGGCACTATCCCACCACATCAAGTAATAATTAGAAAAACATGAAAATCTGTCATATGGCACTTAAAACAACTTAACCTGGTGCGTTTTTGTGCGGGACACTACCCCCTGCTGTCTGGTATGCAGGTGTCTAATCTAGCCTGATCCCTTTGTTCCCTGTGTTTGGCAAAGGCCCGAAGCTCCCTCACTGGCCTGGGAAGCAGAGATGGCATTCCAGCAGCTCTCCATAATCCTCCGTCGGAAGTCCACTAGACGACTGGCTGGTGTTGATAAAAGCAGCTCCCAGTGGAAATGTACAGTTTTGGGGTTGCAAGAGGCTTTGGTGTGGCTCTGTTTTTGGTCCAAAGAAAGAGGACATACATTATGGAGTAAAGGCTTTTGTACAGTACTAGATATCTTTGCTTGCTGGTATTGTAGGTAGGGCGGAATGATTTTGCAATTGAGATCAGATTTATGATGTATGTTTTAATATTAGCATTTTGTTTAAAGTTCACATTTTACACACATTCAGAGGAATTAACTAAAAGACAGAAATATGAACTGACAAATTAATGCAAGAATCAAAGTCAGCAGTTTATATGATGAATATGGTGAATATTTGGATTCAGTTTTGATTAATCCTACAACCCTAATTGTAAAATCTGTTTTTAGTGTGGTCCGCTCACAAAAATACACTTGTATAGAAATATTCTGAGTTTATGCCCATTTGTACAAATTTGTGATATTGACTTTCCATTTTTACTGCAAGGTGCAATCGTGATTCGTTTTAATATAGCTGTTGCTGCCATACATATTGATCCAGAATGTACTTAGAGACACCGCCTGGAGTGTATTTCAGACATTTTTTTGCCATAATAGCACTATATGATGATCACCCAAAGCAACAAATGCTGTGATTTTCTTATGGGTTTGTCTAGTTTCCTTTTATCGTTTGCAATGGACTCAGATATGTGTTTGCGGAATTAAATATTTGTATTTATTAAAATAGCTTTTATTAACATTCCCAAATTGCTATACATGTTCAATAGGAAACATCAATGGAGAGTTTGAGGCTAACATAAAAAAGCTTGAATTTATTGTGTGTAGTTCTTTCATAGAAAACACTGTCACGATAATTACTATATCAACTTATCTTTCAATAATGAAGATGAAACAATATATTTTGGGACTCAATATATATTGTTTGTACAGTTTATTTGCAATAGTGGAGAGATTTTTGCCATGTATTAAGATACGATTTGAGCTGTAGAGGGTTGAATAAAAATATTCTATGGCTATTTATTGATTCATTCTGCTATTTATTTGTTGCAGCTTAAGCCTTTTGGTGATACAGTATATCTTAAAGCTGTTTTACTGCAATCATCAGTGGCATAAAGTAGTTTCCATATTATCGTTTATCGCAATATTCTGCTGTAGCAATACCATTGTTATTTGCCCTCCTAACATTTGTCACATGCTTTTGTTCTCTCCAGGTCCTCATCCGGGTCATTGACACCAACAACCACCGTCCTCAGTTCTCACAGCCACGCTATGAAGTGACAGTTCCTGAAGACACTCCGGCCGGTACGGAGGTCCTGACCATAACTGCCACGGATCAAGATGAGAAGAACAAACTGACCTTTACACTACTGAGCAGCACTGACCCCTTCAGTCTCAAGAAGTTCAGACTGGACCCGGGAACTGGGACACTGTACACGGCTGAACCACTGGACCACGAGACCATGCACACACATATCCTCACAGTTATGGTAAGAATAGATTGTGTTTGCAGACATCTTGACATTGTGAGAACTATGAGAAAATTGTCAGCTGTTTGAAGGGCGAGAGATACAACAGAAGCATCTAGCATGAAATGTTTGGCCAAGATATATATATAGCTTTTTATTTAGTATTGAATAATAATATATACTAATTAAGATATGTCATTATTTTACATTTTGATCTAAATGGTGGCTTAAAGGTTACAAGACATTTTTAACCCTACATGAATTTTGGGACAACCACGTGTAAGTAGTGGGTGGAGATAGGGGTTAGGTGAGAATAACAATTTTCTGAGCTCATATGCCTGAAATCCTAGATAATACAGGATTACTCAAACAAGAATGAAGCAATCAAAATACAACTCTGAGAGTGTTAATGATGAGGAAACACAGTTATAACTATAAAAGCTGATTTTATATAATCACTTTTAATATCAATGTGCTCAATCAGAGAAAGTTTCTAGTCATTTAAATGAGGATTAATCTGTTTTGAAAATAGCTGTGACATTTTTAAGGAGAGATGTTGAGGATTATTATGATACACCTTTGCTAAAAATGAATATTAATAGGCCCAATCAGCATGATATGAGCCAAGTAATTTCACCTTCAGAAACTCAAATATATTATGTATCTTTTTCATTCCATTCAGGTGCGAGACCAGGACATCCCAGTAAAGAGAAACCTTGTACGTGTTATTGTAAATGTGGAAGACACCAATGACAACGCTCCCTGGTTTATCGGCACGCCGTACTCTGGCCGTGTCTTCGAATCGGCTGCTGTGGGCACGGCTGTACTCCAGGTCACTGCCCTCGACAAGGACAAAGGCCAGAATGCAGAGATCCTCTACAGCATAGAGTCAGGTACATTACACTCTGACACTTGGAAACTGAAAAAGAAACAAAATTAGAGTTGGCTTGTTCAAAGATGTAAATGCATTCAGTAGCATATGAGTCATCCCGAGTACCGCTGCCTACTGCATCTTGATCATGAATGGAATACTTGACTTAGAGAGGAGAATATTGGAGACTTTGTCAGAGGAGTTCCCCCTCAGATTTTCCCACGGTGCTGGCAACAACGGGTCTTGTTATATGAGAAAATGACGCATGCATTGTTTAAAAAAAAAAAGAAGAAAACATATTTCCATGATCATTTAAGTCTTTGTAGGCAGACAGAGTAAATTGTATAAGTAAATACACATTATTGGCCATGATTACAGTTTAGGTTAACACTAAAACTTAAAAAAAAAAAATTCTTTAGATTTAGTTAGTAATTGTTGCCTATGATCTTAAAGGTGCTCTATGTAACTTAAACGCTTCTATGTTGCATTTATTTAATTCACTTAGATATGTTCATTGCCTCTCCAGAGACCTGACCTGTAACTTGGGCTGGTATCATCTCCTACTTGTTTCAATGGAGATATATGCAGTATGTTTAAACCATACTGTGAAACACTCCAGGCAAAGCAATTACCTAACCACTGAAACAAATAGGTGGTAGAGCCTTCAGCTTCTTCATGTTCAACCTTATTTATAATGCTCTTTAAAAACAAACAAGTTGAACAAACTGCTACCCTCCACCATAAAAGTTGCATAGCGTACCTTTGAAATAAAATAAAATTGCATGCTTGAATAAATAAGAGATACCTTTTTCATAAGACGTATATATTCTATTTGTGTTTGCTTTTTTCTCCAGGAAACGTGGCAAACTCATTCTCCATTGACCCTGTCCTCGGAACAATTACCGTCGCCAAGGAACTCGATCGCAGCAGCAAGACCCAATTTGAGCTCACAGTCAAAGCTTCGGATAGGGGGCTAACTCCACTGTCAACAACAACTACTGTACACATCGCGGTAACAGTTTCTGACAATGCCGCTCCCAAATTCACAGAAAAGGAGTACTCTGCTGAAGTCAGTGAATCAGCAAACCCAGGTACTTTCGTCAGCTTGGTCACAGCTGTCAGCCAGTCATCGATTTTCTATCAGATTAAAGGTGGCAACATCAATAACGCCTTTGATATAAACCCCAACTCTGGAGTGGTAGTGACTCAGAAGTCTTTAGATTATGAAACCACCTCTCAATATAAGATTACGATACAAGCAACCAACATGGCAGGCCTGTCCAATAATGCGACGCTTGTAATCCACTTGAAGGATGAGAATGACAATGCCCCAATATTCATCCAGAACGCATTCAAAGGTGTTATAAGTGAATCTGCTCCAGTCAACAGTATAGTTCTAACACCTGAAAACACTCCCTTTGTAATCCGAGCGACTGATGCTGACAGTGACCGTAACGCTATGCTGATTTACCAAATAGTTGAGCCCTTTGCACATAATTATTTTGCCATTGACTCCAGCACTGGCGCTATCAGAATCACTACCACACTGGATTATGAGCGCAGAAACGTATTCCGTTTTACAGTCCAAGTCCATGATTTGGGAATGCCGCGTTTATTTGCGGAAAACGCAGCCAACGTGACAGTGGAAGTGATTGACGTCAACGACTGTGCTCCAGTTTTTAGCAAAGAGCGTTATGAGGCGACAGTGATTGTGCCAACGTACAAAGGTGTAGAAGTCATTCAGGTTAACGCTACAGATGCAGACTCTAAACCCAATGCCAGGCTTCTCTATTCTATCACTGAGGGTAACATTGGTGATAAATTCAAAATAGAACCAAGTACTGGCATGATTTCAATCCAGAATGTCACCCAGCTGAGAAGCAGATACGAGCTTGCAGTTCGTGTCTCGGACGGGAGAACTGCAGCAGTTGCAACAGTTAAAATTAACGTTAAAGAGAACAAGGAGAGCAAATTGAAATTCACAAAAGAATCCTATAAATCTCACATAGAAGAAAACTCGAAGGAGAAAAAGACACTAGCAGTTATTGCAGCTGTCGGAAACCAAGTCAACGAACCATTGTTTTACAAAATATTGAACCCCGATAATAGATTCAAAATAAGCCACACTTCAGGGGTGGTCTCAACTACTGGTATTCCATTTGATCGCGAGACACAGGATAAATTTGATATTGTTGTTGAGGTCACGAGAGAGGGCAACCCAGACGAAACATCTCATGTTCTGTTAACTGTTACTGTTGATGACGTAAATGATAATAAGCCAATGTTCTTGAACCGTCCCTACCACGCGTTGGTTCAAATGGATGCTGAAGAAGGCCATATAATTCTCCAGGTTTCAGCTGTGGACAGAGATACTGGTGCCAATGCCCATATCCAGTATCAACTCAAAGAACATCTAGACCACTTTGAAATTACCCCATCTGGCGAGATCCTACTCCGAGAGAAGTTTGACAAAGACTCCCTCAATAGGGACTTTGTTGTTGTGGTAATAGCACGGGATAATGGCGAACCATCTCTCTCTGCCGAAGTTGAAGTTACAATAACTGTAGTGAACAAAGCAATGCCAGTGTTCGAAAAGCCTTTCTACAGCATTGAAATCCCTGAAAACATCCAGCTGCATTCTCCTGTTCTCCACGTCCAGGCCAGTGATGCTGAAGGACCTCGTATTGTGTACACAATCTCAGAGGGTGACCCGTTTAAGCAATTTTCAATCGATTTCAACACTGGCGTCATTCACGTAGTTCAACCCCTCGACTTTGAAACCCATCCTGCTTATAAATTGAACGTAAAAGCCACTGATTCTTTGACAGGCGCACATTCCGATGTGTTCGTAGATATTATCCTTGAAGATGTGAATGACAACGCTCCTGAGTTTCTCTCCAAAGTTTACTACGCCAATATTTCCGAAGCATCTGTGATTGGAACGTCTGTGTTGCAGGTGGATGCCAATGACGCCGATACTGGTACCAATCAAGAGCTATTCTTTCAGCTTAACTCGCCATATTTTACGATAGATCGCGACACTGGGGTAATCTCGACTGCAAAAGAGCTTGATCATGAACAGATCCAGCAACACAAATTACAAGTGCAGGTTGTTGATCTCGGAGTTCCAGCTCTGTCGAGTGAAGTTATTGTGACTGTTGATGTTACAGACCTCAATGACAATGCACCAGTGTTTACGGAGAATGTCTACAACTGCACAATCAATGAGTTGGCCCCAAGAGGCTATTTTGTTACACAAGTCCAAGCTTCTGATGCGGATAGCACTGACATAAATCATTTGGAGTTTTCTATTGTGTCTGGCAATGATGACCAAAATTTTGCAATCAACAAAAAAACTGGAGCAATTATTGTGTCCAACCACCGTCGGCCACACATGCAACCCTTCTATAACATCACCATATCAGTTTCTGATGGTGTTTTCCGCACATCTGGGACTGTCTTAATAACAGTTGTTGGAGCTAACTTGCACAACCCAACCTTCGCACAATCTGAATACGTGGTAGAACTTGTTGAAAATTCACCTGTTGGTACCTTGGTAGCTGAGGCAAAGGCCGAGGATGATGATGAAGGCATTTATGGACACATAACTTACAGAATTGTTAACGATTTGGCAAAAGACAAGTTTTCTGTTAAAAACAATGGTGAGATTTTCACTTTGGAGGTTCTTGATCGGGAGAATGCCATTGAGAAAGTGATTCCAATTTTCCTGGAAGCCAAAGATGGTGGTGGAAAAGTAGGATTCAGCACGGTCAATGTCATACTCACTGATGTCAATGATAATGCCCCACATTTCAGGGCAGCGGAATACAAAGCAACCATTGCCTCAGATGCCCCAAGGGGAACATCTGTTGTCAAAATTGCTGCATCAGACATGGATGAGGGCACCAACGCTGACATTGAGTATTCAATCGAAGCAGAAGTTGAAAACGTCGGCGAAAACTTTGAAATTCATCCCACAACAGGGGTCATTACAACTAAAGAGAGTCTAATCGGACTTGAAAATGAGCTGTATGCTTTCTTTGTCAGGGCAAAAGACACTGGAAATCCATCTAAACATTCAGTTGTTAAAGTTCACATAAGAATTGTGGCGCCAGAAACACCAATACCTAAATTTTCCGAACCACATTATCGCTATGCCATTGCAGAAGACATGCCCATTGGCACAGAGATTGATGTAATTCAAGCTGAAAGTGAGCTACCGGTGGTTTACACTCTTATAAGGGGGAACACACCGGAAAGCAACCAGAATGAGGTGTTTGTGGTTGACCGAGATGCTGGAACACTGAAGCTTCAAAAAAGCCTTGACCACGAGACTACCAAATGGTACCAACTAACTCTCATGGCCCAAACCAAACGCGAAGACTATGACATTGTTACATCAGTGAGCGTCAATATCCAAGTAAAAGATCTTAATGACAACAAACCCGTTTTCGAATCTGATCCATACGAAGCAACAGTTGTTGAGAACCTCCCAAGTGGCACCCAGGTCATTCAGGTCAAAGCCAATGATCTAGATTCTGGAACGAATGGCCATGTTGTGTACAGCCTTGACCCCAAACAAAAGTCTCAGGAAATCTCTGAACTTTTTGCTGTTAATAGTGAAACTGGGTGGATCACGACTCTAAAGGAGCTTGATCGTGAAAAAGTTGACGATTATACCATTGTTGTCCTGGCAACGGATCAAGGAGATAAAATACAACATGTTACAAGCACGCAGGTGGAGGTGACGGTTGCGGATGTGAACGATAATCCTCCACGCTTTACTGCAGAGATCTATAAAGGAACAGTTAGTGAGGATGACCCACCTGGTGGAGTGATTGCCATTCTTAGCACTACAGACGACGACTCTGAGGACATCAACAAACAAGTCAACTACTTCATCACAGGTCAGTGATTTTATATGTTCTCAAATGTGTTAAAATGAAAGCCTTCAGCCACAGTATGTAACCTTAAAGCAAAAAAATAATAATAAATACAAATCACTGACTTGACTCTTGGTTATAATAGTTCACAGTATGGCAAAATGTCTTCTGTCTATCTAATGTATCTTCATGGAGAATGTTCCCAAGTATGGTTTTAAATTTATATTTCCATTAATTAGTTATGCAGGTCATGTGCCATCTCCAGAAAGTCACATACAATACCTTTAATATAACCTGTTTTTAAAATGGAAATAGGAAAGAAGAAGAGATTTTGTCATAGTGGTGTTATAAATGATGTTGCAATGTAGGATAAAGTTCTGCGAATTTTGGACCTTTTGAAATCATGACAAAATCTGACCAAAAATAGAAGCAATAGAGGAATAGATAATGAGCAGTCTTGATGTGCTTACTGCTTTTGTCTACACACAATTCATAACAAAGCACTGGGGATTACACTTGTATTCCACTTAATATGACAATAATGTCTCATCTTCCAACAATTACACATTACTATTATCTGATAGGAGACAGTTAGGAACTATCTGTGGAAGCCCCAGCCAAATATTTGGGTCATTACATTGCAGAAGCGTATAATTATGTGAAATAATATGCTTTCTCCAGTCCTAATTAGCAAGTATGAATAACTTACTATGCCAAGTATCTAGAGAAATTAAACACTTGAATGGTGAACGGTTGTCAGACTTGTTTTCCTGGTGTATAGAATAAATGTGGAACAAACATTTGCGTAGGAGAAAAGAAAAAACAAAAAAACTAACTTGCTTTTTAATTAATAAAGAATGACTTATAATTATAGATATTTAATCAGGAAAGAATTCAGTATTTAGCCCGTAGTGCTTGTCTTCCTAATGACCCTGCTTTTAAGTGGGAGGCCGGAGCTGTTGATCACTCTAAAGTGCTTCTCTTTAACTCCAAACAGGAGGCGACCCTCTTGGGCAATTTGCGATCGAGCACATTGAGAATGAATGGAAGGTCTCTGTGAGGAAATCTTTGGACCGTGAAGAGAAGGACAATTATCTCCTCAACATTACTGCCAGCGACGGCATCTTCACCGCTAAGGCTGTGGTGGAGGTCAAGGTGCTGGACGCCAATGACAACAGCCCAGTCTGCGAAAAGGTAAAGACTGTTACTAGCTGTATTTTGCCCTATATTCATAAACCAAATGAATACTTTAAATCAATATAAATCTGTTACATGTGTTGTTGTTGTTGTATAGATGCATATGTTTATGAGGTCTTTTAGCATGTATATAAATAACTATTACCATTATCAACACACAATTATTACTATTATTTAAAGGGGCACTGTGTAAGTTTAATGAAGAGTCCACCATCTCTTTGTGTTCATCACGATATTCCACAGTATGGCATTAAATTTATCTCCATAAAGACAAATATGTTCCACCAATACGCCAATTTACAGGCCAGATCTGTGGAGAGGCAAGCCCACTCACTGTACAAATGCAGGCTTTTCAACGCATTTTCGAGCAATAAAAATACCTGTAATTGATTCAAGAGCAAGAGATAATTCACTTTAATGCCATACGGTGGAGTATTCTGGGCAAGGCTATAACATCTCCATTAGACAAATAAGTAGTGGTCCTTCCACTAGAAAAGTTTCACATTGAAACTTTAAGTAGAACAGTCACAGATATTCCAGTTAAAAATTTCTGCCCTGATATACTTAGTTAGACACACTATAATGACCAAAATGAAAATTCAAGAACCAAGTCACCACATCCTTGATTCTAACCATGGAAAGCCACTACCCAACGAACTCCAATCCTTTTCCCATCCTCTTTCCTTTCATCCCTTTTGATTCACTTGTGCGTCTTTCTTCCCGCTCACCCCCCATTGTGCCGTGTGCCCTCAGACCCTGTACAGTGAGAGTGTCCCAGAGGACTCCCCCGCTGGCAGACTCATCCTTCAGGTCTCCGCCTCAGACGCAGACATCCGCTCCAACGCCCAGATCTCCTTCCTGCTCCGGGGAGAGGCAGCCCAACTCTTTGTAATTGATGCTGACACAGGTGGGTGTCCCGGGCGCTGAAAATAATGAGATCCGAAACTAGGGATGTAACGGTATCCAAATCTCACAGTACGATATTATCACGATTTATTATGTACTGCAAAGTTTGGAAGAGGCTAGTAGGATTGTAGATAGGCTCCTTTTTGCTTTTAAAATGCCTTGACAAGACTGGTGTGAATCATTGCTTTTGTAATTTCAAGAATGAAGGTAAAATCATAGAATCCAGAATCCTACTTCCTATACATAAATCGCAGTCAGAAAATCTGCAATTTGATTTTTCCCCTCATTTCTAGAGTATTATGTGTTATTGAATAGTTTTAATGAAACTTTGCAAATGCAAATCTTGTTGCATTAGTTATTGTTAAAAGAATGAATGAATAAAATACACCTAAGGAATGTACCATCGCTAGTATGTAAAAATCCCTGCAAGTTCTTTCTTGCAAATATTTTAGATTAAGCCTATAAACCACCCTTCTCCATCTGGTTGCAGTGCTAAAAAATAGAAAACAATGCCGCTTCATCACCTCCAACCAGTTTTAAACAAATAAAACCTCTTAAACAAAGAATCAGTATTCCAACTAAGCCTCAATATTTGACCAAGCCATAATCCACATCTGCCACTGAACAAAAACTTCTTTAAGAACCAAAATTGTGCAAAATATTCTCAGAAATCTAATGCTAGCTGCTTCACATCCCACTGCACTTTCAGCTGCTTTTAGCTGCCAAGTCCAATGCTTTCATCCCCATTCTCTCCTCTCAACATTCAATTACTTATTTTTTAGCTGTCTTCACTCCTGGAAGCTGTTAGAGGTTTAGATACCTTCCCCTTGCTTAGATCCAAACAGGGATGATAGTGTTTAGGGATGTAATGTTATCCAAATTGCTTTATACGCTCACAGTAAGAAACTTATTGTGATATTTTGTGGAGGCTTGTGGAGGGAACAGAATTGTGACTTTCATAATTCAAATAATAATTAAGATTTAAAATGAAAAATGATGACCATTGCCATAGTGAGTGTCAATTGAAAATTAAATATTATATCTTTTGAATGAAAAAAAAATTGAATAAGTTGAAAGCCATGAATAATTTGTATATTTATTTGTACTCCTCTATGCAATGTTTTGTTAACATATCCATGGGTTTCAGAACGATGAAAAACCCCCATCAGGGAATATTACACCATCACATTCTTGAATCTGAAAAGCACCATTATTGATTTATTTGTTAAATTGGGGCCATTTTCTATATATTTTTGAACTTTTAGGAGAGCTGAAGACCTCCAAACCTCTGGACCGTGAGGAAGCAGAGGAACACAGGTTCAAAGTGCGGGCAGTGGATGGTGGCGGACGGTACTGTGAGGCCGACGTTCACATTACTGTTGAAGATGTCAATGACCACTCGCCACAGTTCACCTCTGACCCCTACTCCTTCACTGTCTTTGAGAACACTGAGATCGGAACCTACGTGGCCAAACTGATGGCAACTGATGTCGATGTTGGTAAGACAAAATTTGAAATTGCATTGTGAAAAGTTTATTTTAGGCATGACCATTTTTGCTATTATTTACTGGCTAATGAATATTTGATGAGTGTGGACAAAGTTGTAATTGTTATTGTTATTAATTTAAAGTATAGGTATTTAACCTTTTAGGTGGAGGGACACCTGCTTAAACTTTAATTGTATTGTTTATGGCCTCATTTTAAAGTACAAAGGTGATTAATTTTCCTTTTAGAAAGGGGTACAAATCTTGGGTTCTGCAACTTTTAGAAAGAATACACTTTTTCAATGTAAATATAGTTAGAAATACATATACATTTACTTTTATTTTAAAACGTACTCCCACAACCCCAATTACTTTGGGTTTTGTAATTGTTCTATATAATTAAGCTTATACTGAACGCCCGGCTGCTTGGGTGTCCATCTCCACAGAGCCAAAACTGTGCTAACAACGCATAGGTTATTATCTCCTAATTAGCCAATTGTATAACACAAAAAGGCAAAAGGGAGGATAACAAATGTGAAATTTCATGAGTGATCAACCCTCCAAATTAAGAGCCCCATTACACTCTAATGAAATTTTTCTCTTCAGCCGCAATTCTCACAAGGCCTAAATGCAATTTTCCACCCGCCTGATGCAGATCCACGGCACTGCCAATGCTACTTGTTTGTTTTACCTTTCAGAGGTTATTGCAAACTATTGATGGGGATTAGATGAAGTTTCTTGCACTGTTAGATCGAAAATATGCCTGAGTTTGCAACAAGAATTAAATATATTAGATTTTTGTTTGGTCTGGATCAGTGACACACTTTTCATTTATTTAAAGCAGCCTCCAACATGTGTCTGCGCTGCAGCAGAAAAGACAGGAACTTCAATGTTAAAGGTGTAACTTTTATTGTGGAACATCTGGTACCTGCTTGTCTCCATGGAGATGTTATCGCTTTGCTCGGAATTTTCGACAGTATGGCAAAAAACACACCTATTCATCATTTATTCATTCATTACGAGTGCTTTAATTGCTCAAAAATATCCTACATTGTTACAGTCAGTAGGCTTGCCTCTCCTCAGATATGACCCCTAACTTGGCCTGATGGCATCATCTGCTAATCTTCATGGGAAAAAAAAGTTTAATTTCATACTGTGGAACATTCCAGACAGAGCATGGAAATAGGCAAGCTGGACCCTAGAAAAATTACATTATGCACCTTATGAGACAAGTGCAGTTCAGTGGTGGGCCAGGTTAAATATATTTATGATGTCTCAAAAAATCACAGCAGTCTCCTGTAAACAAAATCCAGAATCATCCCCCCTGAGTTTTCTAGTTCTTCATTGTACCGTTCGCTCATGAGTACATTTCAGCAAATTCACTGCCAGAAATTCCACGCCTCCTGTACCATCCTCCCTTTTTTCCTACTTTTTCTCAACTGACAGCTTGACAGTATTAAAGGGATGCTCAAATCTACTCCCTCAGAACGCACTGGTAAACTGTGAAAGACAAGTATTGAGACATCTCTTCCCTGAGGCTCTGCTGGCACCAAATTGCTTCGCACTTGGAATATCAAGGCACATGAAGCAAATATTATAAAAACCTGCAGTTCAATTTCGCTGGGGGGCAATAATTATTTAGAGATACCCTGAGTCGAAGAAGCTAGGGATTCGATTTGACTTCCATATCTCAAAAATAGCATCATTTGGAATAAATTTGGGAGTTTTGACAAGTCCCGTGTCGCGTGCCTAGCCAACCAGTGGAGGCATACATTGTTATTGACCCAGTTCTCTCAAATTTCACTCAAACTGTTTATTCGGCGGCCATCAAAATGCGATTGTAACCTTGCCCTTGGAGACTTGCTTTATCTCAATATTTGACGCAGTCTTGGCAACGGCTGTTTTGGCCCACGGGCCCTACAGTCTGAATACATATTTGAATGGATTTTTATTTTTTTTCTTATGTTATCTCCAGCAGACACAACTTTCTCGTTGCGAGGGCGACTGTCCAAAAAAAAAAAAAAACATCCTTGATTTGTGATAAACCAAAGTTGCACGCATAATTTTTTTGTTTAGTCTTTTTTCATTCGGATAACGAGTCTTCGTGACCTCTACACTTGCCCGCCGGTTGCTGGGTTGATTCAGTATTCAGCGACATTGCAGAGGATTTATAGATTTTCTGTAGCGAAAAGACGGGTTACAACATAAGCTGTCTATAAAAAGTCAAGGAAAAGCTCCAGGCTAAGTGTAAAGTTAGCATTAGTGGGGCCGGAAAGACAAGCATCGATTTGCATTAGTTGAATGTATGGCAGTTTGTCGGGGCCATGCTAAAAATAATGAGCTTAGAAATTAAAAAATGTTTAAGTAAAAGATTAGATCAAAGTCAATATGTCTTGGAGTTGTAGAAGTAACTTTGGACAAGTGCCATAAATAAGTGGATTAAAAAGGAAGATTTTTTTTCCCATGCATTTGAGCAGAACACGTCTTTATCCAGTATGAATATATTGTAGAAGCATCTCTCGAGGTCAGAATAGGTCTGCTGCTTGATCTGGTCAACTAATTACAAAGCATGTTATTAGGTTATTTTTTTGGACCAAGAGTTTGTTTTCATACCTGACCGTTTCGACTGTTCACTAGTGCTCTTCCTCAGAGTGGTCACGTGATGTTGCTGTGTTCGGTCAGTTGATTTATACAAGTTTTAGCGCTGTCTTCCTGCCATCAGGTATGAAAACAAGCTCTTGGTCCGAAAAAATAACCTAATAACATAAATTATCGGGAGACAAAATTAACCTCATTGGACTAATTACAAAGCCTTTTATTCAGCAAACAGGAAGTGCAGGTTAGCATGCTTGTTGTTGTTACTTTTAGCGTCACTGCAAAACCAAGCAATAATTGATAGTTTTATCTTCTTTTGTTATGTAAATGAATAGGCACACAAAGAATGCAAATATAATACAAACTGTGCCGTCCTGATAGTGAGGTATAATTTACTATGCATTGTTAAAAGACACGAATCACTGACAAACTGATGCAAGTAGCTTCTTTGCACAGCAAGTTCACTATATTGAAAGCATGGAATGTTTTTTTTTTCTTTCTTTAAATTATGTATGTTTATGCTCTGTACCAATTGTATAATGTCTGTGCATTCTTCAGGGGCTGCAACTTGAAATTATGACATGCCAACTACAGAAATAGTTCACAGTGGCAGCCCATATGTGCCCATATATGCTAAATGTGTTGGGTTTTTACCACTCTTTAACAAACCTTCATAGACCATGATCCTTTATTTCAGTGCAAGAAACGTGAAGAAATTACTGTTTACAAATCTTAATCCTATGACAGTAATGATAGCAGTAAAGACTTGTCAGAGCAGTTTTAGCAAAAAGCTACGATTTCTACAATACCATTATCTTACCCATAATAACTCATAAATATTTTCCAGACTTAACTCACCTTTTTTTCTCTATTTGCCCTATCTCTCTCTAATGTGCTGTCATTAGCTACAGTGGAGATAAACAAGTTGAGCTATTCCCAAGTCAGAACAATTTCCTTAAGCACCATTATGTCTGGAGGATGATCAAACTGGTGGTAAGTGATTGGGAAGCGCATAGGCAGGGCTCCCCTGCGGCCCCCTCTTCGGAGTGATAACGAGATCCGTGGAGGACGGGGGCACGTACCTGATAAATGGGAATATAATGGCAGATTCCAAATGGGGGCCACCTGCAGGAAGGCATTAGCATTATTATTGTGATCTGTCTCTGTCTCGTTGCTAGTAGCGTCTTTGCTAGTGGGAGGACGTGAGTTATGACAACGGCGCGGGTGAGACAGTTTACGGCTTCGGTTTATCATAGGCTACTGGGGAAAAGACGGATGATTTCAGTGTCGACAGGAGGCAGAGATTTTAATCATTTAAGAATCGATGTATCAGTTTAAAGAGAGGAGTGTGCTTTTAAAGTCAAGGGCTTATGGAATTCTAATGGTATAGTTGTCAAGCTTCCAAGTGACAAAGATGTGACAGGTTGTAAAGTAACTAATATGAATAAATAGTATGTAATAATATGGATATGCAAAAAGTGTATCTGTCACAAGTGTCTAAACTACTAATAAATGCAGTCAAGCCACATGATACAGGGCTTGTTGGAAGCTTTATCTCTTGCTGGGTGTGGATATTTTACCTTGAAAATATATCATATAATTTTTTTTGTTGAAAATATACCTTGAATCTGTAATCTGTATGTTGTTTCCCTTTTTTGTTCAATACCGAGTATATAAAATGTCACATGATTGATCAAAAATAGACTAAAATAGGTTAAATATGTGTGTCTTTTTTGTCTTTACTTGAGTTAGCTTGCATTTCCACAAACCTGACTCTTATTTGGAAGAGAACTTCCTGCTTGTGTCTCAAGCTATAATAACTCTAACTAATATAACTAACATGGCATTCAGTTCATTTATTTTTTTATTCGCTTATTTTTTCCCAGGCCTCAACAGCGACGTGCTCTACTCGCTGGTTGACTCCGCCGAGGGCTTCTTCTCCATTGACGAATACAGCGGCGTGATCAGCCTGCAGCGCCCCCTGGATCGCGAGGTTCAGTCCGTGTACGAGCTGACGGCTAAAGCTACAGACCAGGGCTCTCCTCACCGTTCCACCGTGGCCCAAGTGGTGATTTCTGTCCTGGACATCAACGACAACCCCCCAGTGTTTGAGCACCGCGAATACACCGCCACCGTGGCAGAGGACATCGCCGTGGGAACGCAGATCCTAAGGGTGCTAGCGGCTAGTCGGGATACGGAAGCTAACCAGGAAATCATGTACAGCATTATCAGTGGAAATGAGCACGGAATGTTCAGCGTGGATTCTCGCACAGGTATGTCACGAGTCTTTGGATTTTGTGTTGTATGTAAATTGTCAAGTATTTTTATATTGAAATGAACAACAATACACACACCCAAATGGATAGATTATATATTTTAGATATGTATTTATTTATTCATTTTTTTTAGATAGATTTTACTTGTTTGATTAGATTATGTTTGCTGGAAAGTAGGGATGGACACGATTAGTCGATTAATCGATAATTGATCATTAAGAATTTCCTCGATTACGTTAATTTTCATCGACAAACCGAATGTAGGTTGCTGTGCGTAGTGTGACCAAACGGGGGTCCGTACATGTAGCTCTCTGCACTCAGAAGGAGCGAGTAAACACAGTCGGTCAGCCAGCAAAATGCATATTTAACGATGACTTGTACAAGAAATTCCACGCTTTCCATTCTGGTCGGGACAAGTGTGAGTCCATGTGCACAGTGTACAAAGCAGCACATATTTGTTCGGTGTCCAGTGGGAAAAAGCTCACCAGGACACCGAAAACATGAAAAAGCTTTGCCAGGTGAGAGTAGCGCAATGTCGATGACGAGTCCCCACCTCCCACCCCCCGTACGGTGTCCTGGTTTTGACAAACGCAAATATGGTCACACTAACCGAGTCATGCCCTTCAATCTGACAGAAGTTGACCGCATCAGCGCACAAGTGCTGATTTTTTTTCCTTCGCTTAGTCTATGCAAATTAGCCATGCAGTTTTTGTTTCGTTTCTGTGAGAGTTGCGCAAAGCTGCATTAAACATTATAATGTCAGTCGGGCTGATGTGGCTCTAGAGTCGTTACGGTTTATATGTCGTAAAGTTGAATTTATTTATGCTTTATGATTAGTAGTGCAGATAGTAATAATATTGATGATACATTTTAATATAAAAAATTTTAATGATTAATCAATAATCGATCGTTAATTCTCCCGACGATCGATTAAGAAAATTTAATCGATTGCCCATCCCTACTGGAAAGTATATTTTAAGAGCTTTACTGTTTTAACCATCCTTATTTATTTATTAATTTTTTTAAGCAGGGTTCAAAGTTTACATTACTTTAAAGTCAGTAACTTTGTATATAAATTTGCTTTTTTAGGTTCAATGTATGTTACTTTAAGATACTTACTTAAAGATCTTAATTATCTTCAAGCCATTTAAACTATAATAGCTTCTAAATTTAAAACTTAAATTAAACTAGAAATTCATGAGACACGGGGAAAAGGTGCCATAACTCAACCATCTTCTTCATAAGTGAGAGTAATTGTAAATTGCGTAGAGCGTATTTAAACCTGACCACAAGTTTACAATAAAAGAAATATAAGTTGTATTTTTAGCTGCAGGAGACATCAAAAACAACATCATTGTTTTTCTGACATTTGTAACTCGCCACCAACTGTGTTCCCATCGTTTCAACAGATTTTTAAAACAACACCCTCTTTTATGTCAGCTGTTACTGGCTCACCACACGCTTCAGCTCGAGAAAAAAAACACTCTTTATTGACGCGAAGCCATGCGGGTCCAAGACGTTTAGCCTAGCGCAGTTTGATTTATTTTAAATGAGTCTTGTGCAACGTTACTTGTGGTTCGCCGGGGTATTCAGACGCTCAAGAACTGCTAAATTTATGGTGTTAAAAGTATTTTCTTCTAACTTGAAGGTGCTCTAGCAAAAATCATGACATAATCGAAGAACTTCATATGAAATTTGTGACTTCTATAATATTAAGTGCAGTACCAGAATAGCGTAATTACTACCACTACTTTCTGCTACTACAATTTCCATGCCATTTCTGTGCCATTTTGCTAAAGTACAGGTCAGATGTATGGAAAGATGAGCAAGAGTGTATTTTTTTAAGCAACAAAAACACTTGTAATTGAATCAATGCAAGATAGATAAGGTAAATGCTATACTGTGGAACATTTCAGGCAAACACCTCTAAGCAAACTAAACAGGCAGTAACCAGAAAAGCCAGAAAAAACACTGCATCTTTTAAAGGAAAAAGTAGCATTTCTCAATATCAAAATCACTAGAAAGTTGGAATAATTAGTGTTTGGCTTTATTTCATATATCTCCTCGCGTAAACCGTACTTTTCTTTGCTTGACCTTGAATAATCATTCTTTTGTTTGTCCTCAGGCGACATCTTTGTGATCGAGCCGCTGGACTACGAGCTGTCCCATGAATACTACATCACCGTGGAGGCTACAGATGGCGGCACGCCCCCCCTCAGCGACATGGCAACCGTCAACATCAACCTGACGGACGCAAACGACAACGCGCCCGTGTTCAGCCAGAGCACGTACACGGCCGTGGTGAGCGAGGACGCCGAGCTGGGCAAGACGGTGCTGACGGTGAGAGCAAGAGCATTTCTCGTTATATAGTTTAACTTTTTTTTAATAGTGGTTATAGTGTGAATGTGAGCTTTAAGCAACAGAAAAGAAAATATTTAGGTCCTATATTACACAAAATGGATTCTTGTGAGCTTTAAGACATGTTATAATGCTATTAGCGCATCATAAACATAACCGAGTTTTCTTTTGTTTTATACACACTTGCTTAGTTTGTATACATCTGTAAAGCTCAAAATGCTGTTCAAGCTCTGTTCTGCTCTGTTCCTTGCAATGTCATGTAGTGGTAGTTTTAAAGTTAAACAGCTACCTTTTACCTTTTGTTCAGTAGAGATTGGCAGTTCCCGTTTCAATTCCAAATTATTCTAGTGAAGGTGTATGGAGTTTAACAACACAGTGGAGCACTTCCTGTATTATGACGTCTTTTCTGTTTGAGAGAACTTATCAAGTATGCAGGGTTTGTGTGAATTAAACAAAACACAACTCCAGGTATGTTTTTGATGAAGAAACATTGTAATATAGATCAGAATGTAGCACAATATAGGCCCTCTAAAGAAAAGTACAGCACTCTTAAGTTAAACCAAACCTCAATTAGGATTAGGAACCATGGCTGTATCAGAAGTAGACCAGACGGTGTAATAGCACTAAAACGGATATAAACACGACGGGCCTCAGTAATTTACAATAATTCAGAGCCACTGCCTCAGCTTGCTGGGGAAAAATAACCCATTATTCTTTTAACATGACGGACAATTTCTCATTTGTCAGGCGTATAGTAAGTTACCTCCAGCAAAATATGTTTGTTCACCCCGTCTAACCATTACTCACGTGTATAGAGTTTTCTGGTGCCCATATTTTTAGACTTTGTGCCATGATTGAGACAAGCTTATGCCTATTTGTCATTGTCTCCGCATTAGATTTTAATACCTGCCATTGTTGTGAGGTACTTGTTCACTGTCTGATGATTTCCCCCGGGGATGCCAGGGATACGTGACGCTCGGGAGGGTTTTAAGGCCGTGTCGCGCTGGGAAGACAGTAGAGAGGGGTCAAATTAATATGAATGAGAAAAAGTGGTGTCAATTGAGGTCTTACTAGATATTGAAGCTCATAAAAATATATATTTTTTGGTATTTACATGATATAAAAATAAGACAAACTATTTTGATGCATAGGTTGAAATATACTGTATATTTTAGTGTAACAAAAAACTGTATATTTTTGTGTAAAAAAGTCATAGCTCTCCATCTATGCTGTGCAAATAAAAAGTTTAAAAGCAAGGAATCAAATATTTGCATTTGGTAATAATCATTAAAGGGCCTGTACCCATGTATTTGACCAAAATTTGTCTTGCCCCATAAGCAGCTCTTTAGGTCAAAATAAGTTCACTGTGTTCTGTCTACATTTAATTAGAAGCATTTTACTGTCCAGTAATCAGGAAGTGCACCATTAGCCTGCTAGTTGTTTTTTAGCATTACCGCAATTGCAAATCTCCTCTCTGGCTTTGGGTTGCTATTGGGACAAATCTATTTCACTAGACACGATACCATAAAAAAAACATCTTATACTTAATTAAATCTTTTGTTTTGACCCCTCTTTGATTTTTCCCCTAAAGGTCGTTGCCCAAGACGCCGACGGTCCTTCGTACAACCACGTGCACTACTCCATCGCCGAGGGCAACCAGGGCAGCCCGTTCACCATTGACCCCACACGAGGAGAGCTCAAAGTGGCTCGCCAGCTGGACCGAGAGCGGGTATGGACACACCACAAACAGACTACAGCCTCTACAATGCTGACTCCACACTTAGCCTGTAATCCACTGAGTAACTAATTGCAGAATCCAATCGCAGTCGTGTCATGGCTAATGGGGGGAGCTCAATGCACGGCTGTTTTATTGCTCACAGAGGCAGATTGGGCTATTTATGCTAATTGGCTGGGGTCATGTCCAGAAGTTGATGAACCCAAAATCTCAGCAGGAGAGCAAGAAGCAGTAAAACTCTATAATAGTTAAGAATTACTGTAAACAAAAGATGTATCAAAGTTAAAATCAAATAAATAGGATTGTCAAACATATCAAAAATTAGATACTAATCGACACTTAAACTATTTGTGAATCTATACTTAAAAAAGTCAAATTCGCAGAACAGAAATGAACCTGTCCTGAATAGCTTTAAAATGATCTTGAGCCATATCAGAACAAGTATAAAACCACAATAATATACACCCATGGACCACTATAGGACCTACCTGTGGAAAACCAGGAAACTCCCTCACGTTTTAAATTCCATACATTCTCACCAAACCTGATCATTTCTCTGTTAGAGCTATCTTCATTACACAGCTACTCAACTTCTGCAGCTACTGTATTTATCTTATTTTCAATCACTTTACTCCTCAGTGCCTCAGCAGATGGTATACTTGTTATAGAAATCGCACAAGGACAAATATTTCACCTTTTTAGCATATTTACACTTTGTTCTGTAAGTGTAAGGCATACAAAAGTGTATTTTTAATTTTTTATTTATTTTTTTTATCAATATATCACCTTCTATTTTGTACCAGTTTCAAAAAGTTTAAAAACCTATAATAAACCAAAGAAATTTCTCATATATTATAATATATATCTATAGCTGATTAGTCACCCTTAGTTGAACAAAATGTGTTTTAGTTGACTAATCATTTTATTTAGATTATAAGGATTTATATGGGTAAGTTTGTGAGTGAGCTATCTGAAGATTTGGTGTTTTTATATGATATGTAAAAAGGCATATTACACACATGATTCACAAGGTTCTCTGTCTTTATATAAATACATTGTTTCCTAGTATTTTTATCTGGTGCAGGTGTAATTTTGTGAGTACAGTTTGGGTCAGATACATGGATATACGTAATAGTTTTAAGATCTTTGCCACGTTCCTTTTTAGTCAACAAATCAATAGGCAGGACGTGTTTAATCGACCAAGAATTACTTCAGTCGACTAAAGCCACCTCACTTGTAAACCATGCACCCTCCTTCTTTTGTCAGATCTCCGGATACAGTCTCACCATCGTGGCCTCAGACAATGGACTCCCGCCCCTCTCCACCACCACCATTATCAACATTGACATTTTGGACATCAACGACAACGCGCCTGTCTTCTCCCAGGCCAATTACAGCCTCATCATCCAGGTAGGAGGGAGGAGCGCGCTTGCTATGTACACCCTGATCACATTATATTGGACCAGGGGAGAGTTCACGGAAAATAAAGGAATTGCGGTTGAAAGAGGGGTGGAACAGAAAGGGGGATTAACACAGAGATATAATGGAGGAGTGCGAGAGGAGAATGTCGAGAAGGCACACGAGCGGAGGTGAGGAGAGAGGGAGGTGAGGGAATTGTAAATTGAAAGACAGAGGCTGCATGTTAAGTACGGCAATGCAGATAGGGGTGGGAAGAGAGTACTGTAAAGGTAGGAGTGGCAGATGCGAAGGCGAGGAGCAGAAGAAAGACTAGTGTGAATTGTGTAATTTGTAGCGCTATTGTGAACATTTCTGCACAAAAACTGATAATATCACATGTACAGTGTTTACTGATCCATGTGAGGGGAATTCATTGTTTGCATTTGACCCATCATGTCTCTGGGTTAAACCTGACAGGAGCAGTGGAACCATCTCCAGATCATGTGCTAGTCTTGGTCAGGGCTTTCTTAGCTGGAGGATTTTACCTATTGTGTATTGTTTTCAGATGGCAGAAGATGCTGATTGCCCTGTCAGAAAGGGGTTTGGAGTTAATAATAATGCTATTTATATGCTTTTTATAAGAAACAAATATCCTCAGATATTGTTTGTTCATGCTGTTAATCATTGAATAGTGATAAATAAGTTAACATAGATTTATATCAAGGTTGTGGTCTTTTGTTTGTTTTGTTTGTTCTTTAACGATACATCCTACACAGTTACAGCATTATCAAAAGTAGATTTGTTGGTATTGTGTAAATAAATACTTCTTTTAAGTGCAACAAGATGCTTTAAGTTGCTGTTGATCTACTATAAGTTCAATGTGACAAGAATTCAGCCAGAACTATGAAAGTACTGTGTCACTTTTTGCTTTGAACCCTGACTTCACTCTTTGCATTTCTTAACCCTGACAAGGCACAGCTGTGAAGTGAAAATCATTTCTCTTTTCCAGGAAAACCGTCCCGTAGGCACTAGTGTCCTCCAGCTCACCGTCACCGACCGAGACGCGGGCTACAACGGTCCGCCTTTTAGCTTTGCCATCGTAGACGGTAACCACGGAGACACCTTTCAGATCAATCCCACCGGAGCCCTGGTGACTCGAGGAGAGCTAAGCAGGAAAACTAAAGAACACTACCTACTACAAGCTCAGGTAAGTCGGAGCGAATGAGAAAGAAAGAGAGATGAAAGGAGAGAAAGAGTGAGAAGGGTAGAAAGAGTGAAAGAAAGAAATAGAGAGGGAGAAAGAGAGAGGGAAAGAAAGGAACAGAGAGGAATATATAGAGAGAAAGAGAGGGAAAATAGAGAGAGAAGGAAAGTGAGAGAGAGAGGGAGAAAGAAAGACAGTGGGAGTGAGAGACAGAGGAACAGAGAGAGAAAGAGACAGAGAAAAAGAAAGGAAGAAAGAGGGAAAAAGAGAGAGAGATGGCGGAAGAAAGAGAGAGAGAGTTTCTATTGATCAAAGCGTCAAGCTACAGCAACTGGGGCCATTTGTCATTGCCCGGACCAGCGCTCTTTCATGCCCACTCAATCGGACTTTCCTCCCCCTCTTAAGTTCTTCTGGTCTGCCTCATGCTTGTGCTAGACCCTGGGCCACTAAAGGTTTAGCTGAGCCTAAAATACTGTGATTTTTGTGCATCAATATTTAATGGACACTAAGTTAGAGTGAAAAGTTGGGATATTTGGGATTTCTTTTGTGAGTTGAGTTCAAAGCAGTTGCCAAGATCTAACACAGAAAACACTGTAGTGATTTAAAGGTCAGAATTTTCAGGCTTTTAAAAACTATTTTGTACTCTTCATTTCTTAAAGGTGCACTATCTAACTTTTTTGGTAGTAGGGGGTCTGCTACAAGCTTGTTTCCATGGAGATATCCTTTTGTTATGCAGTATGGCATTAAACTCATGTATTTATTTGATTACAGGTGTTTTAGTGCTCAAAATACATCAAAAACATGTATTCTGACAGTGACTGAGCTCGCCTCTCAATAGATCTGACCTGTAACATAGCCTGGTGGCGTCACTAAGTTGTCACTATAGAATACATTTTTCTCCAAAATGTAAAGATAACAAAGGTATAGCAAAAACAGAGTATTGGTGAGACGGCTTTTAGGTTGAGCAGATGACCACTTTAATGTTTAATGTCTGTGAAGAATGAAGGAAGAATCTGTCCATTGGTGCCGCTACGGAGCCAAAGTGCTACAGTGCCCTCTGCTGGACAAATGTTGAACAAACCCTCAACTAAAAGACCGTAGTTGTAATAGTGAATGGTAGTAGTTGTGTAAAATAATGTGAATGATGAAGATAATAATAACACATTGCCCACTTAAAAGGTGCATTATATAACTTTTCTGGTCAGTTTCCATAGAGATGTTTCATTGTCTCTAATGTTCCACAGTATGGTATTTACCTAGCCAATCTTGCATTTATTCAATTTCATGTGTCTTTATTGCTCAAAAGTACATTGAAAAAGATTTTTACTTTGAACATAGTCGCCTCTCAACAAAATAGATCTGTAACTTAGCCTGGGGGTGTCACTGGCTTGTCTCTTTTCATAAAGTTTAATACCGTGATGTGGAACATTTCAGACAAAGCAATAACATCTCCATGGAAACAATCCTGCACCAGAAAAGTTTTATACTTTGACAAACGTAATTAATCCAGAAGAGCCAGATATCATAATCCCTATCAATAATTTTAAAGAAACATATTTTTCCTTTCCCCTTAGGTCTCTGACAGTGGCCAACCCCAGCTGTCCTCCAGCACTTTCATCAGTGTTCGCATTATTGAAGAAAGCATCTATCCTCCCGCCATCTTACCCCTCGACATCTTCATCTCCACGGCAGCCGACGAGTACCCAGGCGGAGTCCTTGGCAAGATCCACGCCACAGACCAAGACATCTACGACACCCTCACCTACAGCCTGGCCCCCTCCTCGTCCTCCTCCTCCTCCTCTGACCAAAATGGAGCCATGTTTTCCGTTGCAGCCTCTGATGGCAAAATAATCGCCCTCAAACCGCTGGATGTTGGACACTACCCTCTGAATGTAACAGTGACTGATGGCCGCTTCACAACTGCCGCGGATGTGAATGTGCATGTTCGCCAGGCTCAGCAGCAGGCCTTGGATAATTCGATCGCGGTGCGGTTTGCTAGTATAGCGCCGGAGGAGTTCATAGGGGACTACTGGAGGAACTTCCAGAGGGCGCTGAGGAACATAGCCGGGGTGAGGAGGAGCGAGGTGCAGCTGGTGAGCCTTCAGCCGTCAGAGCAGGGCGATCTGGATGTGCTGCTAGCGCTGGAGAGAGCTGGAAGTCCATACCAATCACAGGAGGTATCTGATTGAGTGTTCCATCCATATCTGATTTTTAATACTTTTGACAGCCCTAGCGTAGACTACATCGACACTCTGTTGCGTTTGACCCAGGTGGTGTTCCGTAAGCTGAATTCGTCAGCGGCTGTGATCGAGGAGATGACTGGCGTGCGTATCGTGCGTGTGGTGCAGAAGCTGTGTGCAGGATTGGACTGTCCTCTGCTCTTCTGTGATGAGGCCATCTCTCTGGACAAGAGCTCAATCAACACATACAGCACTGCACGTCTCAGCTTTGTCACCCCCAGACACGTCCGAAATGCTACCTGCCAGTGCCAAGGTAAATGCAAGTTCAGAGAGAGTTTAGAAAGAGTTATAGGACAGCAAGCAGAGGTGTGTTGACTAATCAAAAAATTTACTTAAGTAAGAGCAATGTTGCTTCAGAATAATATTACTCAAGTAGAAGTACAAAGTAGTGGTCCAAGAAATTACTCAAGTAAGAGAAAAAATCTTTTTGGGAAAACTACTACTCAATTAGATATTATTATCCAAGTGCAGTAGTAATGTGTTTAATGTGTCAAGTCTAATATACATGTGGTTGTGTTTTAGGAGGCAAATGTCCACTGTTGAACAACCTGTGCGACAGCAACCCCTGTCCAGAGGGAATGGAGTGTGTGTCTGATCCTAGAGAAAACCAGTACAGCTGTGTGTGTCCTGAAGGCAAGAAGGGCAAATGCTCCGGTAACACCCAGAAACATATAAAAGTTTTCTATAAATGTTCAAAATTTCGTACAATATTTGATTTTCTCTGTATTCATATGTCTCATTTAGATGGTCACTCTCTCACGTTTAATGGAAATGGTTATGTCAAATACCATCTGATGGAAAATGACAATAAGGAGCTGATGAAGTTGTCTCTGAGACTCAGGACTTTCTCTAACCACGCCACTGTCATGTACGCCAAAGGGACGGATTACAGCATACTGGAGGTAATCTCACAATCTTTTACTTTTATTGCATATAGTTTTCTGTTCTTCCTATTTTTCTTATTTTGTAAATGGAAAATATTTGTAACTGCATATAAAAGTACTCCTATAGTAAGTGTCCAAACCCAACATTGAGAATCTGAGAATCCACTGCCTAAAAAAAAAAAAAAAAAGAATGTCGTTAACATTGCTACATTTCACCAGCCAATCTTTAGTTGGATGGAAATAACAATAAGTAATCAAAATAATTAAATGACTGTAGCCTCAGCTCTTAACATTTTTGTAAAAAGATAACCTGCAGATAGAGAACAGACACGCCTCTTGTGAAAGACCAAAACCTCGCAGAATTCACTCCCTGATCTGCAGAGGCTGCTTTAAGACTGATTCATGATTGACTGCCGGTGCTGAGGTTTCGGTAGTGACCATTCTTATCTGGATATTAGCATTCAAACTGGCAACCCAAATAAGAGACTTATGTGAGGCTCAGTCTGCATTATGATCGATCGTCTTGAGAACAAAACACTTGTAACAAACAACTTAACTAGTATGTTCAGTGTTTTTGTAAGAACAAATCAGCTTTACAATTATAATCATTAAAACTATAGTTGATTTGAACATAAATAAATATATACAGTATATATGCAATATATAAATTATAATAATTACCATTATACTTTGCGAAGGCACCCAATCCATTCTGAACCACCCGTTGCACTGCTTTGCTGTTTATCTCCAGCACAAATTTCCATTTAAAACCCACGTTATGAACTCACAACTGACCTGTCCTCTCTTGAGACCATCTAGCTTGGAGTTCAAAACTGCATTTTTATAAGACTTTCACATGAAGTCTACTGTATGAGAAAGTAGCAATGGGAAAGAAAGAAAAAAAGACTCACATACAAGAACTATTTTTACAGTGGGAGGGAGGCACACTGCAGTTTTCCACACATTCTTTGGTGTAGCGTCTGCGTGCCAGACTTGAAAACCTGGCCAAAAGAAGGTTATTGTTCTTCTCTAACTGCTGTGGAAAGTTTTCCTGTCTGCAGCCTCTTTAATGTACTGTAAATTGGAGAGTACATAAGTTATAATAATGAAAAGTATTACTGTCAAAGCTAATTTCAAAATGGAACTTTAAAAAAAATAAATGATATGTTGTCAGAGATTTGCAAAGGAACAAAGAGAAGAAAGATAGTGAGTAGAGATACTAGATAATATGCTTACATGTAGTGGCAATATAAATAAAAAAAAAATAACAATATGGCTCAATCAAAATTATTCCAAATAAGTTTCATGTTATAAGACTGAATTCTTGTTTAAATACTATTCAGATAATTATAAAATTATGAGGCAAAGATAAAGTTTCACTATTTAACTTTTCTGGTGGAAGGTCCGTTACCAGCTCTCCATGGCGATGTTTTTTTGTTTTTTTTTCTCTCAATGGAGAGAAGCAGGTGACACCACCAGAGCTCAAGCCAAATCTGTTGAGAGGCAAGCCCACTCCCAGTGAGAATGCTTTTTATTAATAGAAAGACCTCTAATTGAATAGAAGCAACATAAATGTAATTCCATATGATGAAACTATTTAGACAATTCAGACAAATCAATAACATCTCCATAGAGATAAAGCGGACAGTGGACATCCCACCAGGGAATTTACTTAAAATAATGGTGATGCTATCAAAAATTATTTTGGGGAAGATATTGGGGAAGCATTGGGAAGGTAAAAAGAAGTTATACTTAGTTAATAAAACAGAATTACGTCAGATTTAATCTGCAGCAGATTAAGTCTGAGTGGTAAATTTCAGTCTATTACAAAAATAAAATTGTAATGTATTTGATGCCATTACAATAAATGGCTCCACACAGTAGGATCTGATAGGAGATGAATTATGACTGTGTCTGACATGGATTTATAGCAAAACTAAAATTATCTCTGTCAGCGATATTAATATTCTTGTGGTTGTTAATCATAAGAAGAGATAAGACAAATATCTTCCCAATGCTGTATTTTTATGTTTATGAAACTTCCTCATTCAATATTTTATGGTCTGAAAAGATGTCTGTATTAAAATGTGTTTTCCTAAATTGTGTTAAATTATATATTGACTAGAAATGAGCAAACAAGTTCATGAATTCAATGCAAAATAAACCCAATACAATCCACCCTGCACTTTGACAAAACTTTACAAAGACGAGTGAGTCTAGAACTTTATCCTGACCTCTCCGGTTCCGGAGGGTGTGATTGAGAGGCGGATTAACTAATCAGAGAGACACATTCTTCGTTTGAGTATAAACAAACATGGCAGCTTATGTTAAATAAAAAGGAAAAAAATAACACAGAGGACTGAGAAACAGCTCTGATTTTTGCAGAATCAACAACCAAAACACCACATTATTTAATTCTTTATCTCAGGTATAAGAAGCTATATATTTTGTTCTGAATATGAGAATTTTCGGGCAGATGTTTTTCACTCTACAGACCAATTTGAACATAATGTAGAACGGCTGGTCAGGTAAATAATTATGCTCTTCAAATATCTCTGAACCTCTTCTTCTTCTTCTTCCTTTTTTCAGATTGTAAATGGACGTCTGCAGTACAAGTTTGACTGCGGCAGTGGCCCGGGTCTGGTCTCCGTGCACAGTGCTCAGGTGAACGACGGCGAGTGGCACAGCGTCTCCTTGGAGGTCGACGGGAACTACGCCAAGCTGGTTCTCGACCGGGTCCACGCTGCATCCGGTACCGCCCCGGGGACCCTGCGCACCCTTAATCTGGACAACAGCATCTATTTTGGGGGCCACGTACGTCAACACGCACCCTCCTCCTCCAGACATGGACGTAGCCTGCCCCTAGCTAACGGTTTTCGGGGTTGCATGGAGGCGATCAGTCTGAACGGTCAGGAGCTGCCTCTGAACACCAAAGCGCGCCGGGCTCACGCGGTCCTGGAGGATATGGTGGACGTGGCCCCGGGATGTGCCCTGGTCCCCCGCGGAGAGCTGCTCCAGTAACCCCTGCACCAACGGGGGAACCTGTACGTCTCTGCCCAATGGAGGTATGACACATTGAGATTAAATGTCATCCCTGAACAGTTTTAAATAGTCGATATTGCACAATTTTCTGATCTACTTTATAATATCCTCATCAAAGTAAGTTGTGTTGTTTTTAAACTTCCATACACCCTCACTAGAATCGTTTGGATCATCTTTACTGCATAAAAGGTAGCTGGTAACCTGAAAACGACTGCTTCATGACATCATAAGGTGGAACAGAGCATTTTAACCATAAGCGCCACAGTTACTAGAGTTATATTTAAAGTTGCTAAAGACCCTATTTGAATTACTAGCTTGTAAATATGACAACAAAAAATAAACAGTTATTTAAAGATATTTGCAAACACTGCCTTTCTTGTGTATGGTATTTTTACATGCATAATTCCAATACAACTCCACTCCTTTGACTTCACCTGTTTTTATGGTGAAATGCCATAAGATGCAGGTTTGTTTGAAGTCCCTTTCACTAATAAGTCACTGCAGTAAAATCCACTTTTCCACTCCTGTTCCTCATTATAAACCTGCTTGTGGTTCAAGGTGCATGCTCCCCTGGTCCCCCCGAGCTCGCTGTGTAACATCTGCAGGAAGTGCTCAAGACTATTAGCACCAAACACTTGTAAAGAAACTGTGTAGACTATTACAGGCAAATAAATTGGTAACTTGCCCAGATTCTGAATATTCATCAAATTATTAATTTAATAGTGTATAAATTACCTAGATTAACCTGTTTTATGATTTATATTTATATTTATTTATATTTATAATTTAGCCTAAAACAAGAAAATATATCTGCTTATGGGGTAAGAACAAATTCTTAACCTTGACAGTGACACATCATCAAGCAAGAAAAAAGATGCAAGTTATATAATAAACATTACATAAATAAAACAAAAAAATACCCAAAGTAAGATTAATAGTTCCAATTTCTTTCCATGGATTTTAGAGTGAGGAAAAGTGAGACCGTTGCCTTAGCAATTAACAATTGAAACCCATAATAAAAGCTACTTGACTAATTCTGGCAAAATTATTTGGTTTTCAAGCTGATCTTCTCTCCTTTTGAACAGGTTACTTTTGTAAGTGTCCGGCCTCCTTCATGGGTGCCCACTGTGAGATCGGGATCAGCCCCTGTGCCTCCAACCCCTGCCTGTACGGGGGCACCTGTGTGCCCCGTGCCAGCGACTTCTACTGCCAGTGTAGAGGGCAGTATTCTGGACAAAGGTACATAAAAAAAACCTTTTCATATTTAAAATCACTATACTTGATTTTTCAAATGTGGAAAACAGAGGTAGTTCATTTTAAACGTTTTGCAGTGGTCCAACGTTATTCCTCACTTTAACTGATTCCTTTATTTAACTGTATTCCGAACATTTACGGTAGCACTTTTCAAATTTCAGATGGTAAAATTGAGTTTTTCTATCACACATCAATGCAAATAACAACTAGAATGCTAAAACAGCATGCTAGTAGACACTTCCCTTTATAAAGATTGACATGACTTTTTGGGAGTTTAACCCTGGGCCGTTTCATGGCAGCTGAGGTGCTCTTCATTGGCTGTCTTGTTCTGATCTCAAAGTTAGTAGCTACTATTTTAGATACTAGCTTTAGTTGTTTTGTTGACTTCTTAAGAAATGTTAACTAAGAACATACTTGTAATATATCACTAATACTGTTCTTTACCTAGGTGCCAGATGGGTCCATACTGCAGAGACAACCCCTGTAAGAACAGTGGGAAGTGCATTGACAGTTTAGATGGTCCAGTTTGTGAATGTGAAGCTGGCTTCCAAGGAGAGAGGTATGTCTATTTGTGCATTATTGCAACCATAGCCATCATCCCAGCATTAAGTCCTTTCAAATGTGTGTGTTTTATGTGAAATAGCCAGTTAATTATTTCAGTGACAATAAAACAACATAGTGGGATCTGGAGCAATTTTATATCACATTTTTATACAGGGACAAGAATACGGGGTGAAATGTTTAGCTTAAATAACAAACATTCATTAAACCAAATATCTAACCTAATCTTCTCATAGTAAGATTAATATTTTGAATTCAGGTGATTTAACTTATTTGGACATTTCTTTTGTCTATAACTGGTTATTAGAGACATGAAAAATTGTGACAATCCAGCTAAATAAAGGTCAATAAATATATTTTTCAAAACTCTTTGATCCCATGAACAGTGACAACAGACAAAAAAAGTTTAATCAGTGAGTTTTTATTTTTTATATTTAATTCAGGTGCCTGACTGACGTAGACGAGTGCGTGAAGAACCCCTGCTCCAATGGCGGTCAGTGCCACAACACCTATGGCTCATACAAGTGCAACTGCTCCTCTGGCTTCACCGGCCCCATGTGCGAGCTCCGCGCCGAGGTCCGCAACGACTTCGTCTCCACCTCCTGGAACATTGGCCTGGAGGAGGTCATCGGCATTGTAGTCTTCGTGACCAGCATCTTCATCCTGGTGCTCCTCTTCATCCTCATCCGGAAGAGGGCCTGTCGGAGCAAGGCCAAAGCTGAGGACGACAAACCACCAGGGGGCTCCAGCATTCCTCATTCGTTCCTCCACCGGCCGTATTTTGATTCCAAGCTGAACAAGAACATCTACTCAGATATCCCTCCACAAGTTCCGGTCAGGCCCATCTCCTACACGCCCAGCATTCCCAGCGACTCGAGGAACAACCTGGACAGGAATTCGTTCGAGGGTTCAGCAATACCAGAGCACCCAGAGTTCACGACCTTTAACCCTGACTCAGTGCACGGCCACCGGAAGACAGTAGCCGTGTGCAGTGTGGCGCCCAACCTGCCCCCACCCCCTCCATCCAACTCAGTGTCAGACAGTGATTCCATACAGAAGCCCAACTGGGATTATGACTATGATGGTAAGTGCACAGTGATATTGTGCTGTATCAGTATCAAAAATTTGGTTTTGCATCCATTTTGAAATACTGTAGGGTTGTAATGGTACACAAAAATCACAACTCAGTTCTGAGGTCACGGTTCAGTTCATTTTTGATACAGTATGGGAACAAAATGCAAAACCGTTTGCTTGTTGTTTATTTGTGTTTATTAAACCAACAATTTGTTTTGATATTATAAAAAGGGGAAAATAAAATAAATGCAAAGTGCTGCTTGGTAATACTAATAAGTTCAATAAAATATTCTAATAGCAACAAATAGTAAAAAATTAATAAATATTATTTAAAAAATTACTTACTTGTAAACAGTAAACTAAAACTTTTGAAAAAGTAAAGCGCAGCACTAACAGTTCCAGCATGAAGTTTTACTCCGTCTTCATATTTTGGTCAGAAAAAAACAACTTGTCCACATTGGGGCACGACGACTGTAGTATTGCAAGGATTCACATGGTTTGGAGGGACATAGTCAACGCAGGGGGTAATTGTTGTCAAAGCAGCCACCGTAACTATGAAGCACTGTGGGAAACAATGCCATCCCAATCACAGATGAGTTGCTTCGTGAATATTAAAGAGCCGAGCCTTCCATATAGCTGTACGTGTAGTGGCAGAATGTAAACACACACAAATTGCACGAACTCACTTGCCCTGCACTGAACCGAAAGTCCCATATCGGAACGGTTCAGCACAAATACATGTACCGTTACACTTTACACACTTAATTGTTTATATTCTAGTTTATCTCCACATATTATACACACTTAAGTTGAGATAATGATCATGAGCCTCTCAGTGTCTAGTTAAAAAGATTTATATTAGAGACATTTTAATTCAAAACTCATTGATATCTGTGTTGGATTTTGATATTTACCATAGCATTACTTGGTATTGCATCAAAACAAACTACCAAGGACAGACAATTGAGAGACAGTTCACAATCAGGAATGTTGTTGGATGTGAACCATGTTTAAACAATTTCCTGTGACCATCCCAGTCAGTTGTTTCTCTGTCATGGGTCAGCATCAGAGTAAGAGAAGGTGACAGGGATTGACACACTGGAAAGCTCAGACATCAGACTTGTGATAGCATTTTAACTAACACTGCATTTTGTATTCCAGCAAAAGTGGTGGACCTCGACCCGTGTCTAACCAAGAAACCAGTGGAGGAGAGTGCGTGCCACCCATACAACACCCGCGGGAGCATGTCCGAAGTCCACTCCCTCAGCTCCTTCCAGTCCGAATCCTGCGATGACAACGGTAAAAACTCTCCTCCTTCTCAGAATTCAAAATAAACTAACAAATATTGAACATTTTTGACTACTATAACACACCAAGATGCATTTTCAGTCTGCTCTTTTGAACGCTAACAGTATTTCTTTGCATGCTCAGAATGGACAAAATGGTAGCTGTGGGTCACATCTCTTTCTCTTTCTCTCCTTTTTTTTTTTGTTTTTGTTTTTGCTGCGGGGCTAAACCAGCTCCCATATGGATTAAATCAGTCCACAGATCCAGGACCAGGTTTTAAATAGGGTCTGGCCTGTAAGTTTTCAGTCACTACCGCGACAGACGGAAGCAATCACCACATGTGCTAAGTGGTTCTCCCAGGAAAAGAAAATGGATGCACTAGTTTGATGGCTTACTCAGGCAGCATTTTTTTGTTTATGCATGGGGTCAGAGCTGTTGTTTTAATTATTTCTTTTTAAGCATGATTTTTATTCTTTTCTGTCTTTGTTTTTTGTTTGAATTATAGTGTCAGATCTATCAGAGGGATTTTAAAAGCAAACATGGAATACATTTCGGTATATGTGTTTGTTTTTTTGTTTGTTGTTGTTTTTTGTTTTGTTTTTGTTTTTTCATTTATAATTTCATTGCTGTCTGAGTTATTTATTGCTACTTAAGACAGGGGGTCAATAATGGACCGTGGGATTGGTGGATGACACAGAAATAAATAATGTACAAGTAATGACTAGCTTTAAAAATATTAACTTTCACAAAACAACCGAAAGTGGTGACTCCTTCAGTACCATGCAGTCTCATTGGCTGTAAAACTGTTGATTAAAATGAGTTTGCCTAATGATCAAGATCGACTGAAGTTAAGATTTTTGGCACATCCCTAATTCTGAGATCAAGAACGGTCACCCACTGCTTCTGACAGGTTCCCCGGTGACACAAACTTAAACCATATGTCAGATACACAGAACAAATCTGTTTACAAGGATCATAAAGTCAGCAGATATTATTTTAAGACAATCACTTGAACAGCCTGTTTCAAGTTGAGCAAGTCCATTTCCCTGGTCCAGTATTCCTCCTTTGTCTTCAAACTCCACCATCTTCTTATGTAAGATCTTAGCAAGTCCCATGCTGCTCATAAGTCATCCAAAACATATTGAACCACACGTTGGGTCATTTGTATACAGTGCCCATTTCCTCCTGTTGCTGCCTTCCCTCAGTGAATAATGCCTTTTTTAAGTCTCTGGGGGAAAACTGGAGTGATTGTACCATCTGTAGTGTGGACAGCACCCTGTAGCATCGCAGTATGTTCATGTGAAGTGTGATCCTCCACAAAACAAACCCATCCGCCTCCTGCTGTGAGCCCCTCGCTCTCCCCCCCTCCAAACATCGCCTCGTGCACAGTCTACAAAGAAAACATTCACTGTAGAACAACACTGCAAACATGAATGGCTACTGGAGTTTAAATAGCTGGAGAGTATTAATTTTAACTGGGCAGTTTTGAGTAAAATAAATGGAGAAAAAAAAATCACTAAATTCTAGCTGGTTGGAAATTATCTGTTAGTGAAAAATGAATAATTACATAAAAAATACACAATAATATAATAAGATATTTGTCTGTACTTAGTTACAAGTTTTCTTTTTTCAATTTCAGTAAGACTTGTGAAGATATTTTAAGTGGATTTAAAAAAAAAAAATAAAAATAAAAATACTTAAATTCTGTTTGGACTTGGAATAAAATATAAAATATATTTCAACCAATGAGAGAAATTTTGAATTTAGTCAAAATATATGACTATTTTGTTTTACTTGGAATGAAAAAATAAGATGAATTTAAACCATCTTGACTGGAATCACGTAATCTTGTAATATATATTTCCACAAGTCACGTCATTTAGATCTATGTTAAATATCCTGAGAACTACATGGTACATATTCTCTATTCTGGCCGTTTTAATTCATGTAGCCTTTTATTTTTGCAGTGAAAAACATTATCAGTCCGTCAGCATCCAGTATGTGGGACGTGTTGCTTGTTACCACCATACACCCTGTTGTAGTACTTTTGTTTACACTGAAAGCATTGTCACTAATGCTGGATACTTCCCATCTTCTTCCCCTTCTCTCACAAGCCTCCATAGTGACTGTGATCCACCTTGTCAGCTCCACAGTTGACACGGTGGACAGAGAAGGTATTACATCATAGAGACGTGGCTTTCATGTGCTTGGAACAGTCGTGGTCGTGCGAACGTGACGTGCTAAATGTACAGCAACTGCCATTATCTTAGACTAAAGAGTAACTGTGTAACTTTTCTAGTGGAAGGTCCGCCACCTGCTTATCTCCATGGAAATGTTATTGCTTTGTCTGGAATGTTCTGCAGTATAGATTAAACCTGTCTAGCACGAGGGGAAAAAAACGCAGGTTATTACAATTCAGATCTGTGGAGAGTCGCCCCTGTTCACAGAGAGAATTATTGTATTTTTTAGAATGAAAGGAAAAAAGAATGTTCCAAGCAAAGCAATGCACATCTCCATGGAGACAAGTAGTTTGTGAACCCTCCACCAGAAAAGTTGTGCAGTGCACCTTTTAATATAGTACTGAAAAACACTTGATTTTCAAATAATTTATGTTATAATTTATTTGGGTTTTATTATTATTATTATTATTATTATTATTATTATTATTATTATTATTATTATTTTATTTTTTTTTTTTTTATTACAAATTTGAATGTATAATTTTTTTTAGTTATTATTTCAGTTTTTTCCCTCTTTTTTTTTTTTTTTTATAGGAAATAGTTCAAGAAAAAAGTTATGTAAAAACAAAAAATCACTTAAAAAAATACAAATTAAATACAAATTTGACCAAGATAAATATTTGGATTTCTAACACATTTTTTAATGCATAGAAATAACTTTTTTCAGTGTTTAAGAAAATGGCAGCATGAACAATATTTTATTTTTCATCATGGAGTCAGTGCTTCTGTCATTTCCATTTCATTTATTGGCAGTTTTCTCTTGTAGATTCTATAAATATGACATGTTGTTTCTCTCTCTTCTTTTCCTCTGGCCTCCTAAAGAGTCTATTTTGGCTCATAATCTCAAGAATCCAACAGGTGAATTTGTCATATTGTTGTGTTAATCCTGTCTCCCCTCAACTAATCTAATTTGCGTTTTTGTGTGGAGAAGCTTCTATGACCTGGCAGTGCTGCTGTAAAATACTGTAGGAGTGTAGGCTTTAAGATGTTCAGGACTCATGGTTTAATTGATTCATAGCCATTAAGGGCTTGATCAATTAAAAATACTAACAATTAATAGTTATATAGAAGTGAGCATATGTAGAATTATCAGATTTCCTGGCATTCCTGGCATTAAGCTTTGAGACATCTTGTTTTTTTATGTTTCTAATTTATTTAATCACTGTTGCATGGCCATAGCTCAGTCACAATGTTCTATATCAATTTAATAAACTTGTTTTGACTCGCTGATATTTTTAAGTTAACTTTTGTAATTGTGTGATGTAGTCTCCTATAAAATGATAAAACCCCCATGTTAAACCCAAGATTTTATTCATGTAATAGTGTCTAAATGTAGCTTAAATGTTACTAAAAACATGTCCAGAAGATTACTTTTTAAACATTTTCTATCTTACTAAAAGCAGTTGATGGGACTAACTGTCAGTCTGTTGTGTTGTTGTATTTGCTGTTGTTGTGACCTTTTATTTTTGCATGGTGTGAGTTTGAACCTTAACCCTAATGTCTAAAATACCTGTAGTTTGGTGCAAATAATGAATGTGTGTCTGTCGCCTAGGATACCACTGGGACACGTCTGATTGGATGCCAAGTGTTCAACTTCCTGGAATCCAGGAATTCCCGCAGTACGAGGTTGTGGAGTCCCCGGCCCCGCTGTACACCGACCCCAGCGCCATAGACACGGACTACTACCCGGGCGGCTTCGACATCGAGAGCGACTTCCCCCCGCCGCCCGAGGATTTCCCCCTGAGCGAGGACCTGCCCCCCCCTCCTCCTCTCCCCGAGTACGACACACTGAGGCCCCGTAACCTGGAGCACCCTGTTCCTAGAGAAGCAGCCTCTCCGGGGGTACGGCAGAGACCAGCCCTGCCGCACCTCTACAGCCTCAATCAGTATCTACCCCAGCACTCCTACCCGAGCGACGGGGGTGAGGCGGAGGGCCAGGGCACCTCCACCTCCGCGGGCAGCACCCCTCCCCCCACCATGGCTCCTCTGCGGGGGGGCTTCTCCCTGGACTCCTCCGTCGCCCTGGACAACGTGTCTCTGTCCCTGTACGCGTCCACCGCCTCCTGCTCGGACATGTCGGCCTGCTGCGAGGAGTCCGAGGTCATGCTCAGCGATTACGACAGCGGGGAGGAGGAGGACGAGGGCCCCCTGGAACGCCTGGTCATCCCCGACTCCCAGCAGCAGCAGCACACCCAAGTCTGACACTGGATCCCAACAACCAAGTGCCTGAACCACAGCCACCGCGCGCTACACTCTACGAACTCACTATGCTGGATGGACTAGTCTAGAGGCGAGCGAGCTTTGACCTTTCGGAGAAGAAACGACTCTATAGAGAACATTTCAGATTTAGTTTGGCAATATGTCAGCTGTTTCTGGTTGCTACCACTGTGCGCCAGGTATGATCGTAAATATGTGGACTGTGGAAAAGACTTTATTATTGTTGTGCCAAAATCTATCCGAGGACGAACCTGGTCTTGCAAGAAAACATGGACAAAATCCGCCTAAAGAAGGACCCTGTTGTAAAGACTAGTAGAAGACTCCTCCCATTGCTTCACGTAGCTGTCTGAAGGATCAACACATGTTCTACCACACCAGACAATACAAAAATCATTCTTAGCAGTATCTTTTAATTTCTATGACTGAACCATGCAAATGTTTTGATATAGAGTCCTCAATTTCGATGTAAATGTTAATGTACAGTTTTGATTTCAAAGTCGACTAGGTTTTGTAGATATTCTATGCTTTTATTTTTTGAAAAGAAGAGTTAAATGGCGTGATCAGCCTTACTGTGTTCACGAATCATTGTAATAAAAAATAAAGAAGAGCGATGCTTTTCTGACGCGGTGTACTTGTAAGTCTGTGTCCCCCGTTCATTTCAAAAAGGGTCTTGAAAAGTGAACGACTGCATATTCTTGTCTTGTTATTTTTTTATTTGTTTGTACATTTTGACTTTGAAACCTCTTTATTTTTCCACCAAGAAAAACGGGACCCAATATATTTATAGTGCCGAGTTGTCCATGGACACGTGACTTTTTCAGGTGTCTATGTGTGTGTGAGCAATGCTATGGTCTTGTTAAGGTTTTTATGGAATACTGCCACAAGCTCACGCTTTCCTACTGGCAATAAATTATTAAAAAATAAAGCGCTGCCTTCTTGTCCTTCTGTATTTGCATAATAGCATAACAGTTTTTATAATAATCAGTTATCAACATTATACGATTTTGTATATATCTTGTGTAGATTTGTCAATTTTTTTTAAATTTTTTTTTGGTAAAGTTTATAATTTGACTTCCTGGTTGGACTTGGGCGGCAGATATGGCATACGTTGAAGTAATTCAGTAACTTTTACCTAGCAACCATAATGGTAACAAGCAACAAAACTTGTCTAAATCACACAATAGTTATGATTAGATATGTAAAAGTTAGGGATGTAACAATAACCGAAATATTGTATCATCAAAGTTCTCTCAATAATATTGTGGACCATCACAATATATCGAATTACAAGTTTCTTTGCTTAAATTAAGGGTTTTGGTGAGGGAACTACATAGACCATGATCCTTTGCTCCATTTCAGTGTAGACTACATGAAGAAGTAACATTTCTAAGTACCTTTAAGTCTTATTTAAGGCATTTTAAGAGGAAAAAGTAGCATATTAACAGTTTTGTTTGTCTCCACAAAATATCTCAATAAATATACCATGAGATGTATATCGTGAAAATATCGTACTGAGAGATTTGGATATTGTTACATCCCTGATCATGAGCCTCCCCACCATATCATGAGCTTTCCCATGATATCGCAATAAATATCGTACCGTGAGGAGCATACTGTGACGATATTGTATCGTGAGACTTGATATCGTTACATCCTGAATAAAAGTACATGACAACACCTCTACTTTGTTAAATAGTCTGTCAGAAACATGCCTTGTGCGTAAATTGTCTCAGTATTTTGGATTAAATTTTTTTGTGTTGATGACATACCCACTCTTACAGCTATTTTATTCATAGATAACAATACAAAATAGTTTAATGTCCTTATTATGTCCTTAGTCACTGTTGCTCCCATAAGATCAGCTGTCACAGAAAAAAAGTTAAATTTCAGCATCTTCTCTTCTCCTGGCACTGTCACCAGTCACACAGTTCAAGAATCTATTGACCTCCCAAAAATCACTTGTAATTTACTGTATGAAAAGCAATGTTTCCAAAGGCCAGATCTATTTTTGTGGTATAAAATTAACCTTTTTTTTATTACTTTAAATTTATGATAAAATGTAGTTGCTTTTGAAGTTTTCTAATATAGCAGCACTATTATATTTGAATTCTTTCATATGTATTTTAAAGTAGCTTTTTCCCCATACATAGACAGAGGGAGTTAAAGCAGTCTGAAATTTGTGCTGTTTAATCTCATGCTTGGTGGATCCCATTAGGTCTCAGAATGGCATCAGGTACTTTTCCATGATTTCAATGAGGTTTTTTCAGGTCCATAAATGCATTATTCATTACGTTATATGTGGACTAAGCTCTGCTCTTATAGCCTCATGTTCTGCTTCAGAGGCTTTCTTTATTGGCTTCAACACTGCTGTCTGGAAATATGTGTAGAACCCTACCGTGTCCACCAGGTGGCAGCAGACACCAATTCTTAAACACAAGCGTTGAGACAAGTTCTTCTCAACTACAAAAGTATAGACAAAATTTGGATGTGTTCATACATAAGTAACGTTTTATTGGTTGCACAAACATGTAAAAAGTTGACCCTTTATAGATATATTGTAAGCTTTGAATGATCTTAAATGTGTTCAGTGCGTGAACGAGTGATGTCAAAAATATCATACTGACAGAGATTCAGTTCTCATGAAAAAATATAAAACTTTCACACAAAAAATTGCTGTTTAAAAATAATTTTAATTTCAATAAGGTTTAGAAATTCATTGTTTATATTCTGGTTTATGGGCACATATGCCACATTAATCACTTGTGTTATTTCACTTTGTTTTAAAGGTGCACTATGTAACTGTATGTCTCATTGACATTACTTTGCCTGGAATGTTCCATTTAAATTACAAGAGTTAAAAAAAATACCTGGAAAAACGTTTATCCATTCTTCCATGCTCTGAGATGCCTGAGGACTTCCATGAAAAACATGAAGGGACATTTTCCCCAGCAGGAAGTTGGAATGCTGCTCCAATGCTCCTCTGGATCAATACACAATTACAAGTGGTAATAATCTAATTTAAACAGAACTTTGTCTGACTGCACTTTTCTTAGTGAAAATGTAACTCTTAGGATAGATTTTTTTTTAAGGAAATAATATATATCATTCCCATATCTGAAGGAACAAGGTAAGAAACAACAAAAAAATATTCAAATGGTTGAGTATTTTGTCACTTGTAGACCCTGGGATGCAGAATACACTCTTCTCCAATACTTTATGAAGATGGTTACAATAAATCTCACTAAGTTCAGGTGGCTGTGATTGACAGGTACATTATCAGGAACATACATGATCCATCCAGATTAAAAAACAGCATGGTGAAGGGACTGATATCCCTCTGTATAAAAAGTACTGAGATATATCATTCTGGACCTGCCAAAATGGGGAGGAATAATCTAAATGTTTACTCAAGTAAAAATACTGTTACATTTTAAAATATATTACATACTCAAGTAGGAGTAAAGTCTGAAAAAAAAATTATTAAATAAGTAAATCTAGTACTACCCACCTCTGTCTCTTACATTTATTTATTTTTTTTGTTAATAAAATGACAACAATACACACATGAGCACATTTCCTGGTTCAGTGGGCATGTTAGCCTATTTCAGGAATATTCTTGGCTGTATTTCTAACATTCATTTTTTCTTGAGGTGTGAACACTATGATTTGGCTCTTGGAGATTAGGTCCTGGGTGGAACTTGAGTGTAAATCTCCAGAATGTTTTTGTAAGATTCTAAACTGGGCTGCCTCCTGATGGGACTGTCTGAGCTGTTAAGTTAAAAATGTTTGTGACAGAGAGACACATTTTTGGAAAATGAGCTACTCTTAATGTTGGACAAATGACACTTTCATAAGCTGCTGCTGCTGGAATTGAACCATCCAATTGACATTCCAGTTATGAGAGAGAGAAAGAGATACATTATTGATTGCAAGGGAAATTCAAGTTTTGCAGCATTTAAATTGTGCCTCTCAGTGACCTTTGTGTCTCAGCTTAATGGGAGGACCGGTCAGGGAGGCTCAGCAGATCTGTGGAAGAGACAGAAGTTCCCTCCTCTGTGTCCTGCAGCATCACAGCAGTGTCCGGGGGGCACCAGGTGAACACAACAGGAAAGATCACACTCTTTGTCTGCTTTGGTGTATTTCCTCTGGAAGGTCTTCTGCCACATTTGCTTCCACATACAGTGTTTAAAAAACTCTTTACAATCTTGAGTGTCCATAGCTAGATTCTCTGCTAGCTTCTTGCACAGTCTCCATGGATATGGGAAAAACAATTAGTTCATTTCACACAAACCAGCAGTCTCTTACTTGTGTCCTTACATGAGCTGCTTTTCTTAGCTAGTCAAAAATCCCATGACACAATGTTAAAAAAACAAAAATGTCAAAATCTGCGCAGTGTGTGACTCACGTGCCACAAAAACACCACTCTATACCCATTTATAGACTTTAGAGCAGTCTTAGGTTTAAGCCTTCTGTCAAGAAAACCGAACATGTTACCATAGACTTCAATTTAGATGTCTGACCTCTGAAGCCGTACTTTATTTTTTCAAGGTCAAGAAATGACTTAAGATCACTTGGACATTGCAATTGCAGTTGTTGACTTCTTTTCTAATAACATTCACCTTCAGGCGATCGGTGTTGAAAAGGAGATAGAATCCCTTTCATGACTCATGTATTGATTGGTAGAATTTCAAATACAGCTCGTTCAACAGAAGGCCTCCAAACTAATTTCCAGACTATCTGCAAGATGTTTACAAATGGCTGACCAGAAATGTTTTATTTGAGGATATGACCAAATCATGTGTGTCATGCTTGTGGGGGCCATTGTGCATCTGTTACATTCGTCTTTCACATCAGAATATATTTTCCAAATCTTTAATTAGTATAATGACTATGGTGGACAGTCGTACATTGTATCAGTCATTTTTTATTTGTGACAATACACTCTTCCAAAAATCAAAATATATAAAACAATATTTGGCCCTGCTCTACCAGTTCTAAAAAAAAATGTCTTAGACTTGGCCCTGAATCTGTGACAGGGCAAGGGCTGGGCTGAATGTGTTGTTTTTGTGTTTTTATATTGCTTTAAATTGTTTTATTACTTTTAACTTGTGTACCTCCCCAGCCCGTAACCCAAGGTCATATGACGTTTTCCCTCCAATCCCAATGTCACGTAATCACTGCACCTACACAGTGGCACGAGAAAAGGATTTTAACAGCTGAAGTGATTGGAGCTACCGGGAACTCCGGCCCAGGAAGAAATCTCCCATAGAGCGCAATGCATTTTTCTGAAATCAAACTGCCCGTGTTTGATTGACAAGCCTTCCACAGCTTTCAAGGTCAGATTTTTTATATATATTTTTTTTATCGATGCACCAATGAGCACAGCCCATTGAAAACAATACAAAGCCATCTTCCAGATTTTATGATAGTTCTATTGCAGGAACAGAACTTGATGTGACGGACAATAGGGAATGTGATGGTGTGGGTCAAGACAAGGAATATGGAGACCCGTCAGATGAGTAGTCGGACGGATGGAGCCAGGGAAAACTGACCACAACAGAGAGAGGAACATCAGCAACAAGACCTGGACGAGCATCACAACACGGTACACCAGCAGCGGCAGAGTGGGAAGCTCTGCCCTCTGTGTAAGTAGTAAATACATGTTGTAGTGACGCTCACATGTAGTAGGGTTATGGCCTGAGGGTGGTGTTCATGGCAGGGATGTGTTGGTCTTTTTGTGTGTGTGGTGTTGCGGCCAAGGGGACGCAAAATTGGTGTTCCTCCTGGCTTTTATTGCTCACACCTACACCAGCTCTCATTTACAGTTTTAACCCAATAGCCCTTCAACCTCATTCAGCCATAACATATTTTATCCAACCCTCCATAACATTCCCCTGTGACAAATCCATCAAGCACATG